GACGAGCTTAACGCTCCCGAGCAGGACACTGGCGTGCGGCAGGACAGGCAGAGATGCCAACGGGGACGAGCTTAACGCTCCCGAGCAGGACACTGGCGTGCGGCAGGACAGGCAGAGATGCCAACGGGGACGAGCTTAACGCTCCCGAGCAGGACACTGGCGTGCGGCAGGACAGGCAGAGATGCCAACGGGGACGAGCTTAACGCTCCCGAGCAGGACACTGGCGTGCGGCAGGACAGGCAGAGATGCCAACGGGGATACGCTTAAGGCTCCTGCACATGACAGCGCTGTGACACATACCCCACAGCCAGTGATGGCACCCCAAGTGACCACAGGAGTTTGCTGTGGGTCACTCCCACCGGATCTCATTTCCATTGATCTGATCGATTTTCCTCCCTCATGGATTCCCCGGAGAACGGGGTGGGGGGGGCAGGCGTGTAGGGAGCAGAGAGGCTGCGGGGGGGCAGTGGGGGTGGTGAGCCTGAGTGCTGTCTGCCTCTGCAAGGAACACCTTCAGGCTGAATGGCCTCTGTGACACACAATCCTCTGTGTTTGTGCTGGGGGGCAGGGGGGTGGGGAGGCCGCAGGGAATATTTCCCGAGCTAAAAGAGGAACATTGCCTGCAGTTGTTGTCATTCTGAGGAGCGACGCCTGTCAGCGTGGCCTCGAAACTCCCCCCCCCCCCGGAGAATATACACTAAAGACAGGCAGAAACAGACCTGGGGGTGCACAAAGGTCGCAGGAATTGTGGAAAAAAGAAGTTTAAGGAAGAGCTGGGCTTGAAAGATAAGGGTGGAGGCCAGGTGGGATCCAGACGGGACGCCAACCAGGTGCCGGCAGTGACCGCCAGACGTGCTAACGAGCTGCTAGACAGCGACTCCAGTCTGACAGCACATTGCATGAGAGCAGAAAGCACGGCACCCCCTAGCCCTGAGGCCCCAGCGCAGGGAGCCCTGGGGAGTCACTGTGAGAGAGCCGTTTGTGGCTCTGGGCTGAAGATCTCTGGGCTTGTAGCAAGACGGACAGTGAGCCTGGCTAGCGCTCATCAGATACAGGCATGAACAGAGACACAAACTGCTCCTATTTGGACCATTATCTACTGCATGAGCAGGTTTTTAAGAGCCTAGATGCATCTGTGGACAACCAGAGGAACAAATGGAAAATCAAACTATAGCCACTCATTAGTATACTCCATCTGAAGAAGAAATGAATAATCAGAAGCTTCAGCGACAGCAACTGCACGACTCTCTTCTTTACTTTTACTGTTAAAATAGTAATATAACACACCATCATACCAAGGCACACATAACTGAGTGGGGGAGAGAGGAGGGTCTTCTGAGTGTCAGGCAGGAACCCGGGCTGAGATTACAGAAAGTATCCCTGTAACAAATGTTGTAATTCTAGAACAAGCAGGATCCACTCTGCCGTATTGGATTACACTTGAAAATCCCACTGTATCCATTCTTTGTCAAACTCCTGTTCCTGATATTACTAATATTAGATACTTATTAGATACTAATATACAGATAATTAGAGACATATCAGGCCAAGATGAATTCCAGCCACAACGTCCGACCGTGTCTTTGGCGCATACTCTGTATCTGAAGGGGAGGCTCCTAACTGATAAGTGCTTCGTAAATGGTGGTGTGGTCCTTTAAAAGGCATTTTAAATGAGATTGTCATGTAGCTTATGACAATGTCATCCTGTGCACAGTGTTCAGAGGGGGGGGGGTGTGGCCTCTGCCCCAGCAGACAAGGGGCAGCGCTCACGGACGTGACTGCGAGCTCCAGCTAGGGGCTGTACGACACACTAGTGGGCATGTCATGTCAGTCTTGGTCAGGCATCGTCACAGAGCGCTATGGGCCATAGTGATAAGCAGTGATGAAGATGAAATGAAGATATGACATACTCACAGTGGGACTCCTTAGATATCCCAGCTTCGAGACGGGAGAGAAAGCAGAGAGTATACTTTACATCCTCATATTCTACCTCCCACCAAACGATCCAGTGGCGGCAGCAGCAGCTCACTGCCGCATTCTCACAGCAGCCTCTACACATCATTAAAAAGCTAAAAACAAGATCTGGAAACTTTGGGTTTGGCCTCAGCTGTGAGTTGCAGACTTTTTTTCCTCCGCTAAAGAACTGGACTTTGAAGAGTTCAGAGGGGGATGCACCGTACTCAATCGCGCAGTGTTTCGCACTTTCTGGGTAAAAGCAGCCTCAGTACAAATACATGCAGGAGTAAAGAGGAAGTGATGTCAGCAGTGTGGCCACATGGTCCGCCCTGCATACGCACGATTGGCTGAGAGGAACAGGCCCCTTACCTTGTTGCGCTTGAAGTAGGCCCGGCGGCAGGCGGCGAAGCACTTCTCGCTGCAGAAGCTCTTGAGCTCGCTGCCCATGCTGAGGGAGTACCGCTTGACGCCCACCTTCTGACACCAGGCGCACATGATCTGTATACTGGACATGTCTTCCTCTGGGAGGGAGGGAGGGGGGGGGGGCAGAGAGCGAGATTCAGAGCCGCTGCATCCTTGCCTTTTTTACAGCTACCATCATTCAAGGATTTCACTTCTTGTAATTTCCGATGTTAACATGGCCCACTGTAGCCACTACAGTCTAGCTAATAATAATACTAATAATGGCAGTAACAATAATAATAATAGTAATTTTACTTAAAAATAATTATTAGCATTAGCAGGAGTTAGGATAGGGACTATGCAGTGTGTCACACATCACGAGGTGTCGGGATTCCTCCCAGCTTCCACTTCCCCCACCCTGAGCATGTCACCCCCAAGCCGTACGTGACGCAAGAGCCCAGCTAGACTTTGGGGGTATTGGGGGATGAAGCTGACCGTCAATGGCCCCCACCTAGAAAGGTGACATTCTCCGCTGGAGATGCCATGGCAATAATTCCACAGGGCGGGAGAGGTCAGTGGGCCTCAAATCAGAGAATGGGGGTGTGTCTAAGTGCTGATAGCGAGATGGGGGGGGGGGGGGCAGTGAGAGGCAGGCCAAGGAGACTGGGGGGTGTTTCGGGGAGCGTGCTCAGAATGGCGCCAGTTCATGTGGCCCGAGTGTGCTACACTGTGCTCTCTGGTTAGGGGGGGGGAACCGGGACCACGGTCACAGCGGGACAACCAAGCAGGAAGTAGGGTGGGGCCAGGGGGGCCACGGCAGCAAGGAATGGCCTGACACCCGCAACTCCCTGACAGGGAGGTGCCCCCCCCCCATCCCTGTCACATCGCGTAACGGCATCAGGCTGCCGACTCTGAGCCAAGAGAGAAGTGACAGCCAGTGACTCCCCTGACGACAGCTGACAGCTCAGCCCTCGGGGCAGGATGGGGGGGCCATGGGCTGGGGGCGTGGATGTCGCTGCAGGGAACTTCAGTTGGGGTTGGGGAGATAGTGAAAGTGCTTCCAGTCAGAGTGTCTGCGACTTACATGCGTCGGGGGAAAAAGGGGTCTGACAGAGTTTGTTTAAAGTGACAGAGATGTGTGTGCACATAACATACATTACACATGTGTATGTATGTCCATATGTACGTGCACATCTGTATGCATGTGTGTGCGTGCATGTGTTTGTGAGGGTGAGGTGAGGGTGACCTCTGCTTCCTGTGAGCGACCCGCCCTGACTCCGCCCCATAACTCCACGGCTCCACATCTTGAATCCCTCAGCATCCCCCCCCCCGCCCTCCATACCAGCCGCTCTCCTTTCCTCCTTCTTCCCTGTCAGCTGGATTGGCTCCTCAGCTGATTCCCTTTTAAAGAGCCATTTGTAATTAAGGTGAATATTTCCCCAGAGTGTCAGATAGCTAGGCAGCGGCCACGGGAGTATCCTTGTGCAGACACACACACACACAGACACACACACACACAGACACACACACACACAGACACACACAGACACAGACATACACAGACATGCACAGACACACACAGACACACACAGACACAGACACACACAGACACAGACACACACACACACAGACACACACAGACACACACAGACAAACACAGACACACACAGACACAGACATACACAGACATGCACAGACACACACAGACACAGACACACACAGACACAGACACACACAGACACACACATGCACAGACACATGCACAGACACACACACAGACACACACACGCACACAGACACACACAGACACAGACACACACAGACACACATACACAGACACACACACGCATACATACACGCACACAGACACACTCAGACACACACATGCATACACACACACAGGCACACACACATTCTGGGGACTGGAGCATTGTAGCCAAACCCAGCTGCTGCCATTAGGGGGCGCTGATGGCAGGTGACCCCTTTAAATGCCCTCCCAGGCTGTGCACAGGTCAGTGTGAGCTGGTCCCCCCAGCCCCACGGCTCTTTGTGCTGTGAGGCTCAGGTGGTCGTGCCCCCCGCCAGGCACCGAGCCGCACCAAGAGGAGGAAGCCCTCTGTCTGGCTAAGGCCGCGCCCCCCGGCCGCCGCGAGCTGCCATGGGGTATGGCTCTCAAAAGGCCCCCTGTGAGAATGATGCAGGGGGGGGGGGAGGGGGCAGGGCGCCTGGTAAATCCGAAATCCGAGTCGGACCTGTGCCCCCGCTTTGTGCTGTGAGGCTCAGGTGGTCGTGCCCCCCGCCAGGCACCGAGCCGCACCAAGAGGAGGAAGCCCTCTGTCTGGCTAAGGCCGCGCCCCCCGGCCGCCGCGAGCTGCCATGGGGTATGGCTCTCAAAAGGCC